GCCATTTCCATTACGTAAGAATACTCAAAGTCACAATTATTCAACAATGTTTTGAAGTTTTTTGTCTAAGGTAATAAGAAAAACAATTTGCAACATAAATTGCAAAATTAAAACAAGAAAATCATCTCTCTGTATCGGCAATTGGTAAAAAATAAAATAATAGTGCTCCCTAAGATGAGCAGGACATTCTCAGGATTAGAGTATAAATTTTAACAAAGCAATATGGCAATATCTATTAGCATTAACACATTTTAATACATGAATCCAAATTTTGGGAAGAAAATTAAGCCCTTCTATTAGGGGGAAAAACATACCAGAAATATGAGTTTCCCTTTAAAAATGGAAGTAATAAAAACTTCCTAGCTAATTTTCGAAAGCTAAAACCCAAACACATTTTGCTTTGACATAATTTAAGTAGGTGTGTTTTTCTATAATCTCTTTTGATCTTAATGTATCTTTATGTTTCTTGTATTTCTCTTATCCCTGGATTTTGTTTCTTAATCCAATCAAATAACCTCTAGTCTACTTTGCTTATTACATTTATCGCTATTTCTGATTTATTTTACTGTTTGTCTAGACTTATTGCTTGTCCGCCAACTTATTTCGTGCTTTAACCATACTTTTCTCTTTTTTTCCTTTCCTGCCTTCTTGGAGGTTGACTTTCCTTTAATCCCTTTGAGTCTCTATTGATATTCTTCAGGAGAGTGGTATAGTGGTTGTTTATCAATTATGCAGTGTAAACAGTACTATGACTATGACAATATTCACAGCTTAATATTGCTGTGTACTTCCTGCTTCATCAAATCAGGAAGCACATAATGCTTACCTACTTTAATGATATTAATGATGAGTGGGTTTAAGTATTGTCAGCCTCATCCATACTTTAAGTTTCTCATGAATTTTTTTACCCGGAAGTTTTAGCATTCATTGACGATTGTTGCCCAAAGCTGTTATTTCACTAGGGGTTGCTAAATGGAGATTTGTCTAGTTCTGTTTTTCTCTTTGTATTTATTAGCCTGGATTCTTCTACAGAAAATAATTCTCCCTCAGCAGTGTTTGATTATTACCCTAAAGTTTCGATACAGAAAAGATGGAATAGACCCTTGAGTCTTTATTTTCTGGTGTTCAGAAAAAAAACAAAACTAAAGCCCTAGCTAGCAACCTCCTAAGTTTCTTTTTTAGTATTATGAACTCATAGATTTCCAGTGCTTTAATTGCCTTACTTTTGGCCAGAAGTCCCTTTATTTGACTACTGAGTCCTTTTGGCAGTGCTTCTGTAGTCTTTGATAGCTCCCTTACTTTCTGGCACAAGATGTCTCAGGCTCACTTTGCCTCACACCTGCAATCAGCCATTTCTACAGGGAGCCCAAGTTTCTTTATAGAGACCGTGTTACCTTAAATGCCTTCTCATTTTTCTTAAGTCTAAAATTCTTAACATGGTATAGAGCCATGCTTCCCGACACTCATATATCATAAATGGGTTATATTTCTAAGTGCTCAGAGTTTTTAGTAGGACCCGCATTGGCTAAAGCTGGGTACGAGCAGCTTCATCCTTTTTCCACAGTGGTGCATATGATACTTTCTAGAATACGAAAACAGTTGAGAGTTGTAAGTGTAATGGATAAATACGTGTATTTGTCAGTTCAGCAAACCTTTCTTTGGTAGAACCTCCTCTTCATCCAGTTATAAATCTGTTTAGTCCACGTAATTGAGATGGGCCTGATAGGGTTTGTCTCCTTCTCCCTCCCACACACAACAGTTGCATTCCCAGAATGAATGCATGATCCAGGCTTGGGTTAGTAGAGGATTCCGTTCCTTGCCCATCTGCCTAGTTCAGAGATGGGTATGTAAGCTAGACTTGGCTCTTTGGAGCCTTTTCTGATCCTTCTGTCTGAGCTGTTTTTCCTCTGCGAGCTAAAGAGAAAAAAACATTCCCTGATTTTTCTGTTCAAGTCAGATACCGTTATTCACCCTTATAGTCCCCCATACTTCTCTTTCATCGCCCTTCCCTCAAAGATAAACTTCCCTCAGGGTAATCATTTGACTAATGTCTGACTTTCCTGCCATTATGTAAGTCCCATAAGGCTTTGTATTTTGTTTACTGTTCTGTTCCCAACAATGCCATGGTGACTGGCACATGGTGGGTACCCCTTAAATATGTATTGAAAATATAAATTTTAAGGCTTAAGGTACATATATAATCTTGTTTATTAAAAATATACATTAATAATATAAAATACATTGTTACAAGTAAGTCTTCAGTAGTCAAAACTGGTATCAAAATTCCTCTCCAAATAAGTTGAAGAGTCTATGGCCATGCTACCCTGAACAAGCCTGATCCCGTCTGATCTCAGAAGCTAAGCAGGGTCGGGCCTGGTTAGTACTTGGATGGGAGACCACCGAGGAAGACAAGGTGCTGTAGGCATAAAAAAAAAAAAAAATGTTGAACAGATGCAGATGAGCACTTTATCCTCTCCAAAACAACACATTACATACAGATTTATTTTACTTTGTGCAAGGGAAAAGTTTTAGACGAACTGGAGTTTATTTTAAATGTACCCAAGCTCAGCAAGGTAGCATGAAGAAGCTTGGTGGTTATAAATCCCTACAAAATATGACAGTCTTTTTTAAGTTTAACTTTAGGTTTTCAAAACTATCTTTTCTTAAATATAGTTTTGTTTTGTTGTTTGCAATTTTTTCATACCGTAGAGTCTCCTATCATCGTTTTAAATTTATATTCAACTTGTCCTTAACTTTATTTCTCAGACTACCTCCCTGCTCTCTCAACTCCATGTCACCTCTTTATCTTTGTGCCAAGATGTGTGCTGGTATAATCCCCTGGAGAAGAAAATGCTCTCCAAAAAAAGGTGGTAGTCATTTTGCAAGCTTATAGTTTATCTGAATTTTATTGACTATTATGTCTTTAGAAGTTGGGAAACTTCTGTCATATTCTTACACGGAAACAGGCTAACCATTCAGCTAAGATAAAAACCTGTCAGTGGACTTCAAATTATGTTTCTCAAATATTTCTGCTAATAGGAATCACCAGTACGATAACTTAATATACCCTAAAATTAGCAATTAACTGCTACTGCAAGTTTCTGGGCTATTTTCCCCATTATGAAAAATATAATGGTTAAGAGTGTGGACTTTGAAGACAGACTGTTACTTAGACAAGTACCTTAACTTGTCTGTGCCTCTGTTTCTTCACTTGTGAAATGGGAATCATAATAGTACCTTCACTCTATGGAACAGAATTAAACATTACCTATTACCTGGTATATGAAAAGAACTCTATAAATGTTCACTATTATCATTTTCATCATTACCCGTATTGTTATTTCTGTCATGCACAGTGTCTAAACTGAGGGTGGAGTTTACTCTTTAGGATTAGAGTGCCCCTGAAACTGTAAGACGTAGGAAGGAAAGGTAGAACATTAGGGAAGAAGGCTCCCAGGACTTGACCAAACAGCCAGAAAACTGGCTATGATTCTAATAAATCTAACTGAAGCAGAGTCTTGTTAGGGAGGTGGAGAAAAGTGAAAACAATCTCTAAAATGTAATTGTAGGATGATTTCTGTCAGATTAAGTCTTCTATTAAAGCTGCAGGAGTTGGACTTGAGTCTAGCAAACTCCAGTAGGAGAAAAAAAGGGATAAAAAAGTGGACAGAGGATCTGAATAGACATTTATCCAGAGAAAAGAAGACATACAAATGGCCAACAGGTACGTAAAAAGGTCGTCCACATTACTAATCCTGGGGAAAATGCAAATCAACCCATAATGAAATACCACCTCACACCTGTTTGTCTCTGTGTGCGTGTGTGTGTGTAAGAATATTATTCAGCCACTAGAAAGGAGATCTTGCCATTTGTGGCAGCATGGATAGACTCTGACGCATTATGCTAGGTAAGATGTCACTTGTATGTGAAATCTAAAACAGCTGAACTATTAGAGGCAGAGAGTAGAATGATAGTTTCCAGGGGTTTAGGGGATGGAAGAAATGTGAAAATGTCAGTCAAAGAATACAAATTTCCTGCTATGAGATGAATAAGATGCAGGGACCTAAAGTATAGTATGGTGATTGTAGCTAATAATACTGTACTATATACTTAAAAGTTGCTAAGAGAATAGATCTTAAATAGTCTCACCACAAAAAGGAAATGGTAATTATGTGATGGGATAAAAGTGTTAGCTAATGCTGTGGTGGTAATCATTCTGCAATATATAAGTGTATCAAATCAACACTTTGCATACCTTAAACTTACATAATGTTGCATGTCAATTACATTTCAATAAAGCTAGAAAAAATCAAAAGACACAAGAAGATACCCACCTACAAGCCCAGGAGAGAGGCCTCCTTAGAAACCAACTCTGCCAACACCTTGATCCTTGGACGTCTAGCCTCCCAGAACCGTGAGAAATAAATTTGTTTCAAGTCAAAAAAAAAAGTATAACAAACTTAGTATAAAGTGCAGATAATAGTCTTTACTCTCAGGCTTGAAAATGTTTATAACTCAGAGTAGAAAACATTTGGAAAAGTAGACATATTTTTGGTTCTTTTTGGTAACATTATCTGTAATCATACTTCTATACTAGTTCCTTTCATCAGCATTCAGCTTAGGTGGAGGTAGAGACGTACACATAGAGACCAGAGACTCAAGTAAATTCAGTAAATGGTTAGATTAAAGCCATTTGCCTCAACTGTTTATTAGCCTGACTATATTGGGGCTGCCATGGCTCATCCAAATGTAAAATTCTGCAGTTCCAAATAACTATGCAGACATAAACTGAAACTGTTGTGTCTACCCTGTCACTACTGAGACGAGAAAAGTAAACAAAGTAGAAGTTTTTCTCTAGAATTTAAAGGATTTTAAAATGCCAGTAATTATAAGTTTCCTGTTCAGTATGTGTATACAATAACACATACCTGGCTTATGTTTCTAAAGTGAATTATGTACTAGCACTTGAAAGAAAAAAGTAGTTAGCCCTACTAAAGGTAGTGAAATCCATATTGATCTCTTAATCCTCTTTATTACTCAAATATTGCATCATTTGTACTCGTCTATTAACTTAGTGGTTACTTAGATAAGACAGAAGGTGTAGCATTAAAAATAAGGTAGGATGGCAGGCATGGTAAGTGGAAAAATTAATAGTGATATTAATTTCCTTCTGTTATAGGTAATGCATACAGAACTCTCCTTATGGTTCCCCTGCATAGATATTCTTATTATTTTAAATGACACTTCTGTAGTTTAAGGGTACAATTTCATATTTATAGACCACTGTCCATTCTATCGTTGAGTTCATGCAACCCCCAGAGGTATTAAATGAAGAATATTTCTTTTCTGAGATAAAGAAATTATGAGCTAAAGTGTTTTTATATTATCTTACTATTCACGCATTCCCTGTGTTATTCCATACATGTTCTTATTATTTCAAACACAGTATCCAAAGCCTGACTTTTGGAAAGTGACTCATAGCAGTTGTCTAGCAGAGCCTGAGTAAAGCAGTCTCCCACAACAAGTAGTTTTCATCACATTCTTGGCTATGTTACTCTTGAATCCTTCCATGCCTTACAGAAAAGGCAATGAGTCTTTTGTAAACCACTCCCAGGAGTATGATGGCGAGCATCACTATTCCACAGATGAGACTGAATGCCCATCGTGGGCCCCAAGAAGTGTACACTTGGCTGATGAACACGGGTCCGAGAATCCGTGCTGCACTTCCAGATGCTGTTAACCAGCCCATGTACACGCCCTGTGGGACAGGGAGGGGAAAGAGCAGATGGATATTCAATTCAGGTTTAGTCATTTTAAAAACAAAGATGATGCCACTATTACTAATCTATGGGAAACTCAAAGGAATCACTTTTCATCTCTTATTTGTGAATTAAATATAAAATGCCTCTCTATAAATACAGCTATAGTGAACAACAATCTTATTGGATAGAGCCAAGTTAGGAAAAACTAAAGTGAAAAGGGATAAACGTAATGGCTGCTGAAGCCCTGGGAACAATATAATTTATTAACTTACCTTTTAAAGCTAACCTTTATTTTGTACTTGCTACCTTCCAAACACTGTTAGGTGCTTTCCATATATTGTTTCCAATGTTCACAAGTATATCTGATTGGTGTTATCCCCATTTAACAAATGTGGAAGCTGAAGCTCAGAAAATTCAAGTAACTCATCCAAGAGATGTGAAGACATTATTTGGCTGACTGCACTGTGCCACCTTTCACTGAACAACATGCCACTCCTCCAAAAACCCAAAACTGTGACCCAAACACTCTTCCCAAGAACGTGCAGTGCATAATTACTTTCAATATCCCCAAATTGAAAACAACCATCAGTGGTGAATTCAATAAATTATGGTATGTTTGATGAATAGAATACTAAACAACTGCTTAAAAGAATAGGTAGTATTCTTATTCTCCATTTTGCTTCTGTATTCTAATTTTTATATAATGAATATGGAATGCTTATAAAACTAATTTTAAAAAATACATAGCTGCTGTATACTTTAAGACTGTTGTGTTTTCATCTTTTTGTAATTGTCCTCAAGGCCAGAAGAAATGAGGCCTAGATTCAAATTTGCCTATCAATTTTGGTTTCCTAACCATTGTCTAGCTTAAGAATGAGTTTCAAAACTTTATGCTTCAGACATTTTTTCTTTGAAAAAGATTCTGCACTCGTAATTTCTTTGTTCAAGAGATCTCTTGAGTTCTAAGTTAGAGTACTTTTAGTTAAATTTCAGATACGTACTGTTAGTACTTTACAAAAGTTACGGGTTTTTAAAAAAATTTGAAATGCTGAATATGATAAAAATCCCCCAAAACAGTCTGTGTGAAAACAGAGGATGATAGCACAAGATGTGAGCACTTACATGTATATTTCACATAATAGCAATGCCAGGGTAACTGACTCACCTGAGGTTTTGGTCCCAGGATTTTTGAATATAATGAATAGGACATAGTATGGCAAGATGCATAGCCTATTCCAATTAGCACAGCTGATGTGAGGAACTGGGCCAGATGGATCATGGGGGTGTACAGGCACCAGGCTTGTTCAGCTGGACAACCAGTTGGTTCCTCACCATGATCTTCTCTTGGAGACCTCCAAAGAGTAATAATAATTTCCCCAAATGTGGTATTAGGGATTGAATTATTATGTAAATCTGCAAAAGCAAAATTAGTACAGTGTATCACTTGTGAATTTTAGATGAATATAAGAGCTGACATTATAGAATTATGTATGGCTATACCTTCCCACTGTATTTTGGGAAATTGATTTCCCCAAGGTAACAAGATAAAGAAGCCAACCCATACAACGACGAGTCCTCCTAGTAGAAGAGCACGCTCGCCAATCCTGTTGAAGAACAGAAACTCTAATTTAAAAATGAAACAACAGTTTCATTACTTTTATAATTTTAAAAGCTATAAAATATATTGATATTTTTGGTGATATTCCAATTAATATGAATGCTAAATATAATTTCCCATTAAAAGGAACTTCCCTAACAACTGGCTGAGACAGAAAATATATAATAGAGCCTGGGCATCTTGTCATACAAGAGAGCACAGAAGCTATCAGTGACTACTAGGTCATGATAAAAGGACTCAAAGCCAATTTGAAGAAGCTGGCCCCAAACGTGACAATGTGAACACCAAAAACAATAGTAATGGCAATGGAATGAAACACATAAAAATGTTATAATCTATGAATTCACATTGTATTAAAATAAAATACTTTTGGTCACTTAGAGGATGCTAAAGGAACCAATTCTTTAAAAAGAAAATCAGTTAATAAAAGGAATCACCCTGCCTTTCCTGTACAATCTGTACCTCAAGATTACCAAATAGTTGGTGATAGGAAGGTTCTCTTTATAGAAAGTATTCCAGCAAATAAATAAAGGAATGATAGAATTAAAATACCAGCATTGTGCGATGAGAGGTGGGGGGAGGGGGAAGCCTATATATTAAGAGAGACTAAAGAAACTTAAGAATTTGAGTCAAGTGGAACAACAACAACAAAAAAGAAAAACATCTGCAACAGTGGAGAAAATCTGAATACTACGTGGATATTTGATATTTAGAAATGACATTTTTTTAAAGGTATGATAATGCTGTCATCATTAACTTTTAGAGATACATACTGAAATACTTATGGAAGACATAAAATGATGTCTGGGGTCAACTTCAAAATAGTTCAGGTCTATGACAGGGAGTGTGGAGGTACAGATGAATGAAGATTATCCAAGGGTTTATCATTGTTGAAGCTGGGTAACGGATATTAGAGATTCAGTGCTTGATGCTCTCTGCATCCCTGTATATGTCAGAAATTCTCCATAATAAAAAGTGAAACATATAAACAAGACCCAAGGCTTCCTAAAACAAACAAAAAACCCCAAATACTTCCCATCACCCTCAGAATACCTACAAGGCTTCACATCTTTCCAACCTGATCTCCCATTTGCTATTTCTTTCTGCTCTGGCCAAATTTTTCTTCCTGATTGTTTCTTAAACATGCAAAGCTCAGTCTTCTTGGGGAGGAGAGTTCCAGGCCATTACAAGGCTGTTTTCTGATTTCACTGAGGTCTTTGCTTCGATGTAACTTCCTAGAGCATGCCTTCCTTGGACACTCTATCAAAATAACACTTCCCGTCTCTCCCAACCCTGCTCAGCCACGCCGTTCTCTTTCTCTGCTCTACCCTCCTAAATAGTACTTATCAACACCTGACTTTGTATTTGTGTTTATTGGCTTTTCCCCCAATAGAATATAAGGTCTTTGAAGGTATGGAATTATACAAGTTGTAAGAATGCCTATCAGCATGACTGCTCTACTTCTGTAGCAAAATGTAATGAATTTACTATTTAACTTTGAATATGAATCTATGTCTCTGTCTATATGTTGGCCTCCTACTTGGCTCTATAAGAAGAGGAATCTTCATAGTGTCCCCCACAGCACCTAACCCTATATACACAGACTCAATATTTGTTAATTGATTTTAGAACTTTAAAGTTCTAAAGTACTATTAAAGTATCTTAGGAATAATTAAATTAAAACTGTCTAAAATGATCTACTAATGTCTCACCCCAGACTATATGGATGAACTTAATTTTATATAGGCATTTCCCTCCAAATGTGTTCTTTACAGTTATACTTTGACAAAATGCCTCTTTAAAAAATGTCCTGTGGTCAAAGTTACAAATAACTTCCTGAAATGTCACATACTGTAGTTTTCATGATGGTAATATAGTATGTATAGATTGAAGATTTAGAGTTTTAGAGTAAAGAAGTTTGGTGATTTTAACCAGAATTTTCCAGACTTATCATTGAATCTTTTTTGTTGCTTACCATATATTACCATGCAGCAGAACAATGTTTTAAGACATATACTTTTAGAAATACTTTAAATAAAACATAAAATACAAATGCTACATTAGAATACAATTATTCACTTTGTAAAATATCTTGCTTTACTAAAGAATATGCCATGGTATAGAAATATTCTCCCTTGATAAATTTTAAATCTGTTTGCTAACATTCAAGGACTAAAACTAATAATGAGAGAAAAGCCTTAAATTATTTTACCAGCACATTCATTTACATTGTTAACTGTTTCATGTTTCGTTTTTAAAAAACAGACATGAAACAAAACCAAAGACAGATAACTTACTTTTCAGAAAGTAATTTAATCCCCGAGAAAACAATAACTGCCTCGACTCCAAAAGCAGCAAGCATTATTCCACCATATAATACAGCTTGTTCTCGCGTCCAGGCATACATATCCATTGTTAATTGAGTAACGTTGCTAAGAGAAAACAAAAAAAGAAATTATTCTTATTTTATTTAAAATCATAGTCATTGTCACTGAAATCTGAAATAGAAGTTTTAATAATGATATGGACCCATTCAAGAATTTGCATCTTTTAAACAATAATACCAGATCTACATAAACAAAAATTTTAACACACTTTAAGGATATACTGTTGTTACATATGTGCTTTTGGCTGTTTGTATTTTCATTTTTTAATATTTAATTATAAAAGTAATATATCCACACTGCAAAAAGTTTGAAAAACAGGAAAATAAAACCAACCAAAACTACATTCTAATATAACTAAGTAATCGTAGTTATATTTTGGTTTAAATTTGTCTCTTTTCAATAAAATAATGTTACTGCTATTAGGTATTATAATATTCTGGGATTTTTTTTCTCTTCTTCAATCCCTTTCATCCCTATCTTTGAATGTATATATTTTCCTCCCTTCCTCTGAATGTCTCTCTTCCTTCATATAACTCTCTCCTTCCTTGCCAAGCTTCTTTTCCTACTTTGTATCTCCTTATGTTAACTGACTATAAAATGGAATTGAATATATTTAAAATATTCATTCTTAAAAAAAGAACATTACCATTTAAAAAATTTTAAAATCAGAAGAGCTGATGTGGGAAATAGTTAAACATAGAATTACCATATGATCCAGCAATTCCACTTCTGGATATATAAGCAAAAAACCTGAAAGCTCAAACAGATACTTGTACACCAATGTTCATCACGGTATTATTCACAATAGCCAAAGGTGGAAATAACCCAAATGTGCATTGACAGATGACTGGATAAACAAAATTGGTATATATACATATACATGTACCAAAAAGGTATGAAATTCTGAAACATGCTACAACATAGATGAATCTTGGAAACATCATGCTAACTGAAATAAAGCAAGACATGAAAGAATAAATGTTTTATGATTCCACTTACATGAGGAACCTAGAAAAGGCAAATTCATAGAGAAAGTAGAAGAGGGGTCACCATGGGCCGGTGTCCTATTGTTTAATAGGTGTAGAGCTTCTGTTTGGAATGATGAATAGGTTCTGGAAATGGATAGTGGTGAGCAAGACATGAAAGGATAAATGTTTTATGATTCCACTTACATGAAAAGGTTCTGGAAATGGATAGTGGTAATGGCTGCACAACATTGTGAATGTACTAAATGCCAATGAACTGCACAATTAAAGATAGTTAAGATGCTAAATTTTATGTTATATTTTACAATTTCAAAATACCCCAAAATTAGAATGAACTGAAACTTTCATATATCTCAATAATTTTTTAAAAAATTAAAAATCAAGCAAATCTACATATACTGGCGTTAAAATGTATTAATAAGGGAATAAACTATGTTGTCAAATGATCACATATGTTCTATGCTGGTTTAATATACACACATACACACCTCAATACTGGCATAGGAAAAAATGTTCGAAAAACTACACACTCAATTATTAGCAATAGTTACCTCTAAGGAAAGGAGTGAGTGTGGAAATACAGTTGTAGTGTTTGGAATATTTACAAAGAAATGCACTATTTTTATAACAAAAAAGTATTTTAAAAATAAAAGCCATCAAGGTCAACAAACCATACAGAGTTTGTGATATCTCACACTATTGTGTTCCGGGTCAGGGCTTAAACAGTTAAAACTGCCAGATGGAAACCCATGTACATACGTAGCGAGTTATATAGCTTAAAGTTTAATCATGACAAATTAAAGTTTTATAATTATGAAAATAAGAAGAAAGGGAGAAAGGCTAGTGAAACGGATTCCTTTATAAGGAAGATAAGAACAGTAAGATTACAATTATCCACATTCAAGTTAAAAAAACATAAAATTTATATACATTTGACAAGAAAAATGTCATATAGTTTTTGAGAACATCTATATGCCTGATTATATTGCATTAAGAAATACAGATTTTACATAATCTAATTTAGATGAAGACAGAATAAAACTTACGTTTCAAAAACGGCAAACACAAACAGGGTGGTGAAAAACAGAACATTGGTGGTCACAACGCCGAGGTGGTCAACATTCCCCTGGGGAACCTGCACTTCCTCTGTGCTTGCTGTAGGGAGCAGGAGAAAGGCTGCGTTACCTACGCATGACCTGAAATACTGTAGAAATTACAGGTAGCAAATTCTATGACTAAACATTTAAACTCATTTTTAGATGTCTACACAGTTTAAAAGTAACAGAATTTATTTTAAATGGCATTTAAAAGTAACTTTTCTTCCCAGGAGATACACTTCAATTCTGTAATCTATAGGAAATACTACAATCATCTATTTGCTGTGTCTCAAAACAAAATAAGAATGTATTTTATAGAATTCTATAAAATGACCTCATACTAAATACATTTGCTTTAAATTTCATTTGCAGGTTTTTTACCTACCTTATCTAAAATCTTACATTTATGAGGATTTCATGAAGACCTCAAACAGTTTATTAAGTCAGTTCTCAGTTATGATTCACTTCAGTAAATATATATTTTGAATTTAAACGTATGTGAAATTATTAGTAAATGTCTTTGTTATTACCACATTTTTTAAAAGTCCTTATATTGTCATTTATATTTTTGCAAAGAAATATGTTTTCTTTGTTATGCTTTTTATAAATTAGGAGGGCAAGGTGAATATACTGAATTATCCTGAACTATGCAGTTAAGCTACAAACTTAGTATAAGCTATTCCTGATAAAACTGAGAAATGTGAAGCCATTTAAATCTACTTCTATACATCCATCATGCTATTTTATAATTTACCCAATTAATCAAAGTAAGCCACGTAAGTAATTCAAGAATGTGTTCATTTATGCTATCTTTATGTGTATGTGTAGCAGCAGCAGGGGGCAGATGGTGACTTTCCTAAGACACAGTGAGTTTCTATAATTTTTGTCATAATAGTACCTGCTTTTATATCTCAGGATCCCTGAGAGGAAGTTCTTTCTCCAATAATAAATGAGATTTGGAAATAGTCTGCTATACTTGGGGGCAATTAAGTCCCTTGGACACTAAACATACGGGGTCATGACTTCCCTTTTTAATCACAAAAAAATACCCAAAAAACCTGGCTTTAGATATTGCCTCTTTGAAAACAAGACAAAGTGATTTAACCCTGCCAATTGTGAACAGCAAATAACTGATATCAGTATCCTTTAAAAAAAAAAAAAAATCAATTTAGGTAACTTTCAACTTTGAAGATCTTCTCTCAATCACCTTCTATTATTCTCAGAGGCAAAGTCTAATACCAGACAGAATCATTAGAAACACTTTGATAATGTTATAGTAATTTAGTCAAACAGGTTAACAGTACCTTCTTCAAAATTAATATTTTTATACTGTCGTCCTGAGTCATCCACGCGATGTTCTCTTAAAAAGAAAAAGATAAATATTGTATCCATGAAAGCCTTAGTATAATAAAGAAAAGCCTCAAATTTATTACTAGCCTTCTATTTTTTCACATTCTGATAGTTTCTTTTACTGGCTTCTAATGTAATTATTACCAATGAGATATAACCAATAAAACTTAAAAGACGGAAGTCATGATTATTATATTATCACATAAAATGAAAAGAAACCTAAATTCATCCAAAAGCATATGTGATTTACCTTACTCAGTGTTTAAAGTTTTCCAGTGATTTTAAACACTAGTTATAAATGTTTTTGGATTCTTGGTTAAAGCACTCCAAAGAAATATAAAATAACAAAATTTCTGTACATTTATAAAATTTCTTCTGATCTATAAAATATATTTAAAATAATTTTTGTATTTAAGGTGGATACTAATTATTAATCTACTTAAAATGCTGCATTCATGACATTTTCCTACTTAGAAACCTATAGTTAGTAAATCAAAACCAAACTTTGAATCTTCAAAGAACTTACAATCTGTTCTCATTTATCAGACTGTCTTATTATTTCAAGTAGGAGTATTAGATACATTAGCTGATCAGAAATATGAACAGAACTATAGCTATAAAACCAAATAAAGACTTCATATGAATAATTCCAACAATGATAATGCTTATTTAATTTCACAATCTACAAATGTTGTTTTATCATTTCTGATTACCTTAATATAGTAAGGATCAGAAGAATATTTAAAACTCCCAAGAAGGCACCAAGTAAAACTGGTGCTGTATACATGTTGATCTGCAGCTTTATAGTCTCCCATGTCACGCCCTTCTCTCCGATGAGTGCAAAACAGGTCTGAAAAACTTATTAAAATGTATACAGATGAACTATATGAGAGGCACAGGCTTAAAAAATGTGAAAGACATTTATCACAAAATTAGAAGTAACATGATGGAATCATCTATATCACACATCTCAACAAAGGGAAGAAAACTTTCTGGGGGATGGCAAACATTTTTTCTACATAAAGCAAGGATATGCAAACAGTACATAAAAGATATACAGTAGATCTATGGTATTAAAAATTCATGGGATGGAGTGGTTAGGGAAAAAATGTCTAAAAGCTCCTTTAGGGATCAATAATTTAAAAAAAAAAAACAGCTGTGAAACACTAATGTACATGAATTCACAAAGGATTACATCTAAATTAACCTGTCAATAACTTTTTTTAAAAAAAACATCTCCATACAAAATTTAAATTATACACTTTCTTCTATAAGTAAATTTTAAAAGTAATTTCATTGTGAGAAATAAAATGCCATGGCTTAAGTAAATATTTTAAAATATTACTATGTATATAGTATTTATATATATTTAATTTTTAAATTTTAGATTTGCAGCAAAAATCAAGATTGGAAGAATAGTGGTTTGCTGTCCTGATTTAGATTGTATATCTGGCTCTTTCAATGATTTACATGTTACCTTAGTGTGAAGATTAAGTAAGATGCTGCACCTAAAGCACTTAGAACAGCACCTGGCACACAGTAAACACTCAGTATATGTCAGTGCTTGTTGATAGGTTATTATTGGAAAAATCATCATTTCAGGCTTACATTTCCTCATCTATAATATGAAATGTTTAAATGGGGTTATCTTCAAAATACTTTTTTAGGTGGTGAGAGTATTTACTGAGAACCCAAGTCTATACCAGATACTGTACTAGATACTGAGAGTAGAGTGGTAAACAAAAAAGAAACAGACTATGTTCTCATGTATTTCATAATATGACAGTAGATCTAATTATTTTACATTTGTGCTTATATTTTACTCCAGAATAGTAAAATGAAATATTAGATATTGGTGAATCATGAATTAGATTCTCTTTTGTTGAGCTTTTTCTGGGCTAACTAGAAGGAAGTAATGGAAACAGGTAGGGGTGGGGTGTTAATAATCAAGAAAACTGGGTTGGATTCAAACTGATGGTATCCACAACTTCAATATTCAATGCATGAGCCATAATATATGGTTTTTCAATATTATTCTAGGCATAAAAATTACTAATTTCTCTATTCACCAAAAAAATTAACTGGCTTTGGGGAAATATTAAATATCATGACTTTTTTTTTTATATTCAGCTAAAAGATGAAAGCTTTGGAAGAGGAAGAAAATAGTGTTTTTAAAACTCTTTCATTTTCTTCAACATTAGAAAAGTCTTAAAGGTATGGGCAAAGGGTAAAGAATTTCCTATAATTTTCTTTAAATCCTTCAGTCGAAAAATTTTTGTTTCTAATAAATGGAAAAAGAACAAAGAGTTATCAAGCTAAATGATTATTTCACAGAATGTATGCTTTGGAATCAGAGTTAGGTTTGAACCTCAGATTTCCCATTTATTATCTGGCTGACTCTGGATAATTTACTTAGATTCTCTATGAGTTGGGTTAGTCCCAGAGGGCATGAGTTAACAAAGAGCATAGACTCATCACTGAATCAAAAAATTTTAGTTCCCCTCCCTTTCCCTTCAATTGTGAGGTTTTATACTTAGATTTCATTTAACATTTGAATGTCCAAAGCTTTCCAAATTGAAATTCAAGTAATGACAAGTGGAAAACACCTACCTGGACCTAGAATAAACCCTAATGCTTGACAAGCACTTGTGTTTGCCATGGAGCTTGTTCTTTCCTGAAGGGAAGTCGCACCAGCAATGTATGACCTAACAACTGCTATATTTCCTAAGAAAAGACACAGCAGTAAAAGAAATATCCTTTAGTTTATAAAATTCAACTTAATTTGGCTTTGTACAGAAGAAATATTAACCTATAGTATAGTCACTGCTTCCTCTTTATGATCATACAAACCATGTATACTGAGCAAATGCATCAATAAATAGAAAAAGTTACTTTTAGTAATATGAAAACAGTTTAATATTTGAATGAATGAAAGAATAGCATTACGAGAATGTTAAACTTTTTCATCATTAAATACTGAGAAAGCATTGAATGAATGCATACTACTGACTGCTACATCTGTTTTTAAAAGATGTCACAAACTCTGCATGCTTGGTCCTGTAATAGAAGAAACAAAAAGAAATCTACTAACAATTTAACTCAAAAAAATTAATTGAGCATTGTGCAAGAGACTTTGCTGGGGGCCACAGAAAATTTTTTAAAAGTCATAAATTGACTCTACAAAAAAGTTTACTGTCTGATTAAAGATGCAGGATGAAAACAGTGCAAAACAGTATATAAGCAAGGGGCAGGGTAGCCTAAGAAAGTTTCAAAGACTATGTGGAACTTGAATTAAGTCTTGAAGGATGAATGATAGGAACAGAAAAGAGAAACTATAGGTGACGTGAAGATCATGAGTGGAGGTAAAAATGATAGGAAGATGTGAGTCTGTCTGTAATCAAAGATCTATACAGAACCGTGAGATAAGACATTGAGAAGGGATGGATGACCACCAGGTAAGACTGGGCCATAAGTGTCAGGATGAATGTGAATCTGACACAACCAAACACATACGTACATATTACCTGCTCCAAATCCCGCCAATCCGCGAGCAATCAACATGTAGTATTTATTATGAGAAGCTGGGATGTGGACATACGCATAGAGGCAGTTGGCTACCACCGAAATAACGATGGAGACAATAAGAGGTTCTTTTCTTGGTCTATGATTAGACCACAAACCAAATATAGGTGAAGTTACCATTTGGCCAAGGCTAAATGAAGCAATAACCCAGCCCAAAAAATGTGCATCAGCTGTTGGATCAACCTGCAGAAAAAATGCAATGCTTTATGAATTGCTATCTAAGATGAGTAAAATTTTAAACCTAAATACATTTTTTCTGACTATGTAACATTTCATATTAAAAAAAAAATACTAACATAAAAGTTTTGTGACAGATTATTTAAAATAAGGGATTCGAACTTCTGACATTACAATTAAATGTGATAACAATTCACTATACGCAAAGAAAAATGCTTGAGAAGCTTCATCTTTTGAAATGATTATGGATATATCTCGTTCATAAAAATCTTGTTATAAAGATAATCACATTAAATATATAACAGTAACAAAAATAATGTCATTCTTTAATTCTTATAAAGTAAATTATTTAAACTTATCCTATTCTATAAGCTAAAAAGTCATTAGCATTGTAACTTTTTAAACTGGGCACAATAGTCAAATGCATAAAGAAGACAAAACACAAATTCTGAAAGACGACTGATTCTCTTATTAAACTTATTTCTAATTCTTCCTTTTAACATAGACAATTCAGGATTTTACCACTTAAAAAGTGTTTATATATCATGATGAATGTTGAAGGGAGAACCAAATGATTAAAATTCAGAAATGAATTACTTTTAGAAAACAGAAAATTTTAACTTACAAAAGGACTATGGAATAAATCGGATTTTTAAAAATATGATAGGCTCTATAGTAATTTGAAGAAATAAGAACCATTAAACCTTAGGAAATAAATTTAAACATATAGGTTAATTGGTAGAACTTAAGATGGGCCATGGTCTTCTCTCCTCTAAATATATATTTAAATAGCTTAAAGCAGAAATTTAGGTACATTTTTGCTTGTGGGGGATGAAAAATAAGAGTAAATAAGGATAATGATATATAATATTCAAAGTTCTAACCTTAAAAATATTTTAGGTACTCTGGTTTTAATTTTTTACCTTATTTAGCTCCCTTTGCTTTCTCTATTAAAATATAAAATATATAATTCATGTCATTTAAATTTTAAAAATTAACTTTCAAAACAGCAGTAGAATCTCAATTTTAATGTTAAATGTGTAGTGTTTGAAAGCAAAAGGATGAAAGTGTGCTCTCAAGATATAAATGGATCATAATCAAGTGTCTGTTTCATGGGCAGAAGTGAGCTTTTTTTAAATTTGAAATGCACTCTTTATTTTGATTGTTCCATCTCTCCAATGAGCTTTTATAACACAGGATTTTTAATACACTATGTTGATTTGTGTTGTATCCATTGTTGTTTTCTTGAATTACATCACCAGCTTCATAGGATGTTTCATTCGTTGAATTGGATGCTGCATTTGAATTGGGGGCTTTGGTTTCCTATCTGAGTTGCCTTCTCGAGTAGAAGAAATCTTTAGGTGTTGAAGTTTAAGGGCAGTGTCAAATCTTTGAGGCTTCATACACAGAGATAGCAAAGGACACAGACGCTGATGACAAAGGCAAGTAAAACAAGGGCAGCGATGGCTCTAACAGTATTTGTTGGGAGACCACTGGAAACTTATTTTAATTAGATATTATTCTTTACAGAGATTGGAAAACTGGAATCTGCTAGAATTCTGCTAGAATTGTAACAGGAAAGTAAAATGGGTTGAGAGATATAGGTTCTACAACAGAAGGTATCAACTTCAGTAACTAAACTGCTTACTTGTGCTCGTGTGCATTTCTCTTTCTCATAATAATAAAGGTATCGCATTTCTGATCCTCTGGCTACCTCTACTGATTTCTATCATATTGTTTTCAGGATACAATCTAAACTGACTGTTATAAAAAAATAACTCAGAAGCTGGCCACTATCTCTCCTCTCTAACTTCATCTCTCTGTATGCTCCCTCGCCCCAGTTCTAACTTCTAGCCACACTGAACTGTGTAGTTTCCAAAATGAGCTAACTTCTTTGCCTCTACTCCTTTGCACAGATTCCTCTATTGCCCCTTCCACCAGCAATGCCTTCCTAACCTCCTACTCCCCGGCCCCTACCTTTCCTTCAGGTGACCAACTTCTGTAGGCCTTCAAAACTTAAGCTCAGGTATAACTGATTTTGGAAAGTCTTCCAGGATCTCTTTAGCCTAGATAAGCAATACTCCAATTCTCCATGTCTATCTGTGTCTATGTGTCTGTACGTCTGTCTGTCTCTGTCTGTCTCTCTCTCTCACCCACACCCACACTTATTTTCAGACCTTTACCCACATATATTGAATGGTTATTATCTGTAAACTTGTTTGGTTTTGCCCACTTCAGTGAAAGTTGGATCTTTATCTTCTTAAAACAAACAAACAAAAAAAACCCCAAAGTGTGTGATATTGTATCTCAAAACATTCTTCTTGACACGTTAATATTGACAAAGTCAAAGTCATAGAAATCTTAATGCCTTACTTTGGGAGCTGAAGTATGAATATGGGTGTTCCAAGCCTCCTCAACTATTTATAGATTATTGTGCAGTCATAGGGATATAGGGATATAGAAATGAGTAAACACAGTTGCTGGCATCAAGGTATTTCCAAACCAGGTTCTATTTGTCTGGTTCTGAAAAATCCTGTATTTGAGTGGCTGGGGAAAAAAAAAAACCAGCATGTTTTAGTTCCTTATGTGTAACATGAGGATAACTTGACAGAGTTGTTAGGAGAATTATTGAAGCCAAAGCATGTATAGGACTTAGGGCCATGTCAGCATATGGTATGCACTCAATGAATGTTACCTACACAATATTAAAAAACTAGTGTTTTTAAATATATTGTTTTACTAACATGTCAGTTTTATTATTATGTTTTATTGTAACTCATGCATGAGTATTCCTACTGTCACTCCCTGGATCTACAACCTACCATTCCAATTCAAAATTTGGGTTTAAGAATATGAGTCTTCCTGGAAATCAAATCGCATCTCTGAGCAACACAGCCTAAGGAATCACTCAGCTGATGGCTGTCTATCAGCTAGGGCCAGAAGGACAATTCAGAGACTCAAAGTAGTGCCAAATTCCTTTCGGACAGACAATTTACCAGTTATTGTTTTTTTGTGGGTTTTCTGACCTAGCTTTTTATCTTTCTCACAGATGGCTTTTAGGCTAAGTAATATTTGGTAATAGAGATTCATCAAAGAGATAGTAGCCTTAAATTAAGAATTAAAAATTTTAAGGTACTAGGTAACATAGCACTGTGGTTAACAGTCAAATTTTGGTTTCAGATAGGCTTTGCTTTGCCATTTTCTAGCTGTGTGACCTTGGGCAACCTACCTAACTTCTCTGAGTCTGAGTTTCTTCACTCATCAAACAGTGATAACCATTTGACAGGGTCATTGTGAAAATCAACAGATGATTTAGGTAAAAGCTTCAGTAGTGTGCCTGGCACACAGTGAACTCTAAATATCATTATCAAATGACTTGAGAACAATAATTGATAAGTTTTTTAGTGGAAATGTTACATTTGTTTTACCAAAGAACTAGTTATAAGTTCATAAAATCAATAAATTTACCTTTGAAGAGCTTTCAAATATCTGGAGAAAGGAGTGTACCTTTTCAAAATTCAATTTTTGTGCTGACTTTATTTTGAGAATTTTGAGGTTAAACAGACTAGATACAGGGACCATAGTAATCAAAAGAACTGTGATACATGCAAATGTATTTTTAGCAAGAAGATGTTGCTCTAGAATTGTTTTCTATTTCAATTTCAATAACTCTGCCAGTATGGAAAGAATTTTTAGTGTCAAGGGTAGTAATTTCATGTGATATAATTTTTTAAATTAATTTTTAAATAGCAATGCAAATGTGGCACTAAATCTAGTTTTTTCTTCTCTTAGTTTTCTTTTTATTAGGGAGGGGGTAATGATGGGATGTGAAAGTGGCTAATAAGTAAGTGACCCCACATGTGCACTCGCCTGGGAATTTCCAAGTATAATCCTCTTTTCCGGGTATAGCACTGCTTTTACTTCAAGAGTGCTCTGGTTTGCACAGTAAGGCATATGATATAAGCCTCTTCTGAGGAATTATCATCTCAAGTTATTCTAGTAAAAATTAAATCAGAGAAACCTAAGAGACTCTAAAAAACTCTTAAATACATAAGAGTTACTACTATAACAGCTACTTAAGGGAAGAAGAAATTGAAGTGTACAAACCTTTTGGAGATATGGCCATATAGACATTATTACAATAGAAAATCCTGTAAAGAGGCAAACTCTGTTATTTATACTTACAATAATTTCACAGTATTTATAGATACAGTTTTTTAAACTATAGCATGAATTTTAAAATGCTATTCTAAATTTACAAATTTATGCCCCCCAAAACTATAATTTATCAAGTCTTGGGGTTTTATTAATCAGAAGAAAAATAAATATTAAAGGCTTGAAAACATATAGTTTATAGTCGTTGGCCATAACTAATATAATAAAAGCAGAGGAGCTATTTCTCCTTCCTCACATGCCTTTACTATAAGTGGAACTTACTGAAAGCTTTAAGTTTTTATAGCAGAAATGAATGGAGGAAAGGGCACTTTGTTATAAAGGAAGTGCTAGACCTCTAATCTGTATTTGGGAGAGATAACTGACTGTAGGGAAGAGCTAGGAAGAAAGAAAGACTAGGAAGAAAGAAAATGATCACTTAAAGGGGGCAGTGGCTATAAAGAACCAGGATACTTCAAGATGGCTTTACTTTGAAAGAATATTCATTATTTCTGCTAGCCTTTATTGCTTGAGAACTGTAATAATAAACCCCAATGCTATTTGTCAATTTTAAATTTAGGCGCGTCCAATCAAAATTCTAAAAAACAGCTTTATGAAGCTATAATTCACATGTCGTACAATTTATCTATTTAAAGTATACAATTCAATGACGTTTAGTATAATCACAAATATGTGTAACCGTCACCAACGTCAATTTTAGGACATTTCAGTGACCTCAAAAAGAAACACGGGGTCCTTTAGCTATTACTCTGCCACCTTCCATTCAATCCCACACCAGACCTAAGCAACTACTCATCTACTTTCTATCCCTATGGATTTTCCTATTTTGGAAATTTCATATGAACAGAGTCACATAATATGTGGTCTTTTGTGCCTAGTTTCTTTTTTAGCATAAGGTTTTCAAGATTCATACATGTTGTAGCAGGTTCATCCCTTTTATAAAGCCTATTTTAAAAAATAATAATTAGTTTCGTTTTAGTGTATTTTGAATTGATACACTGATGAAAAAAAGACTGAGTCAACTAATATTTAAAATCAAAGCTGTAATTTCACAATCCTGTAAATAAGCAAAATGGTTAACATGCCAATTAAAATCTATTTAAAATAATTTTCCTTTTTTGCCATTAAATTTAAAATGACTACTTATAATTTAAGATAATTGTATATGTTAAAATTAAAAATATTTTAAATGAAAACAATCTATTGCAGAAATTGCTACCTAAACATTTGTCCCCTTCCTCCTTCCCGACAGAACCCTAATTTTATTAAGGTATCCATCACTCCTCCACAAAGCCATAGGCTTTAGGGGAAACTGTCTCTACCCCAAATCCCAAAAAAGTAAATCCTGAGCGGTCTGAAATTCAATCAGAGTAATTCCATTATCCCTAGCAGATGATGAATTTAGAAACTGACAAGTAGCCGAGTTCTGACCAGTGAGAAGTAAAGTGGTGGGGGCGCCTATCTGGAGACCTCTGAGAAAGAACTCCGTGGAGGTTTAAGAAAAAAAGTCAATTTCGATCAGTAAGTTATCTTGAATAGATGTGACACCTAGAACTACTGCTTCAATCTTGCTACAGCCTAAAAATGAAGCCACTGTGTAGATGAGGGCAAAACCAAAACAGCTACTGAGAAACAGAGCCAAAGCCCCAGTGAACTTTACCTGAGGTTGTCCTACTATGGCTATCTTATAAGAAAAAATAAATTACTGTTTCTGCCAATTCGAATCAACATTTTTTCCCTGTTATTTGTGGAAGGCATCCTAACAGATATATAGTCCAAGGTGAAATTGTGTTACAAAGTATGGTTGAAAATATTCTTTTCGTTTGTAGTTTTCTTTAAAATGTACTTTTTAAAAATGTACTTTTATTTAAAATGTACTTTTACTCAGTGTTGAATTATGAACAAGACTGGTAAGTGAAAGAGAACAAGCAGGTGACTGGAGTAAATAGAAGGGATTTGGAAAACAATTTAGTAAAATGACCTTCACTAAATCTGTCTCAGGGAAAGAAACCGCTTGTAAAATTAGTGCCTACAGACTAGGCTTGAGGGGAAAAAGAATGATTCCCTTAAACATTCCTTTAAAAACTAGCACAGTATCGGTAATTTCCGTATATTTTCATGCCTTATCATTTTAACATAATTACAGTTCTTATTAAAAAATTTTTCCTCATGAAGTTTTACTTTGTAGAAACTACATTTTTATAAGTAATGTTAATAGATTAAAATACATTGAGCTATACAAATTAAGATTCTTGCACTTTACTAATTGTATGTAATGTGTCAATATAAAAATTAAATGAGGTTCACAGGCAATAAAAAAAAAATAGATAAATTGGACTACATCAAAATTTAAAACTTATACGAATCTAAGGACACAATCAGCAGTGAAAAAAAGAGTCCTCAGATAGTAAAAAATATTTGAAATGAAATATCTGGTAAGAGGTTAATATCCAGAATATATAAAGAACTTCTACAACTCAACAACAAAAACACAACCACCTGATTAAAAAGTGACAAAGAACTTGAATAGACATTTCTCCAAAGAAGATACACAAATGGCCAATATGCACATGAAAAGATGCCCATTACTAATTATCAGGGATATATAAATTGAAACCACAATGAGATGCCACCTCACGCCCATTAGGATAATTACTATTAAATAAATATAAGAGCTGGTGAGGATGTGGGAAAATTTGAACCCTGACCGTTGGTGGAATCTAATAGTGCAGCAGCTATGGAAAACAGTAGAGCGGTAAATTAAAGGGAGGATTATCATATGATCTAGCAATTCCACTTCTGGGTATATACCCAAAAGAATTGAAAGCAGAATGTTGAAGAGATACTTGCTCACCCATGTTCACAGACGCTATTCATAAGAGACAAGAGGTAGAAGCAACCCAAGTGTTCATCAACAGATGAATAGATAAACAAAATGTGATACATACTGAAGGGGATCAGAACGTGCCCCCCCAAAATATGCTGCACTGACACAGTGATCATTTTGAGCCGATGGCAACTAACAACAGATGCAGGAATGGCTCTCTGTATTCCTACTTGCTGCCTAAAAACTGAGCATAAACTTCCCCTGAGAAAAGTGCTTTCCCAGGAAGAAGCGAACATTCTTCACTGGAGATGAGTCCATGCTGAGATGAGTATATACAAACCTTACTACAATAACTTCAATTAGTTTCTCCATATATTTCCTAGTTACTTTCCCACAGTTTACGAGCCCTAGAAGCCCAAAGCTCTTTCCTTTACCTACTTATTCACAATTATTGCCCTTTGTTGAAATGGCATATAAGCCCTGAGTGTAAACATTTCTTTGGGGTTTTCACTGTTCTATGAAGCCCCCTGTGTTATGTAAAAATATTAACATCTAAATAAATCTGTATCCTTTTCTCCTGTTGATCTGTCTTTTGTCGGCTTAATTTGCAGGCCCAGCTACAGAACCTAAGAAGGTAGAGAAAATGTTTCTCCTCTCCTACAACATATACAAAGGAATATTATTCAGCCTTTAAAGGTGGGGAATTCTGACACATACTATAACATGGATAAACCTTGAGGACGTTATGCTAAATGAAATAAATGAATCATAAAAAGAAAAATACTATATGATTCCATTTATACGAAGTATCTAGAGTACTCAAATTCATAGAAACAAAGTAGAATGGTGGTTGCCGGGGGCTGGAAGGGGAGGGCGATGAGTTGTTTAATGGGTGAAGAGTTTCAGTTTTGCAGGATGAACAAATTCTGGAAATTGGTTATACAACTATGTAGACATACAAAGACCTCTGATCTCAGAAATGGTTAAGATGGTAACTTTTAAGTTATATGTTTTTTACCACAATAAAAGTAACTTAAAAATTAAATGTTAAAATATATTTTATATGAATTTTTAAAATTATCCAATTTCTAATACTTACCTACACTGCTGAGAAACATAGTAAGATACAGAATCCTAATAGATCTCCATCGGCTTTTATAATGCTCCTCAGTTTCTATAATATCCCATTCTCTAGGTGTAAAGAAGAAAAAAGTAGTATAAAGTTATCATTATATGCAAATCTTTCTGTGGCACACTTCTATTTTCTCTAAAGCCATGAAAATGATATGATATCTATAATTTACTAGTATTGGTTTTTGCTGTACTAATTCACTATAAATAAGCATTATTTCTTTGAATTTCTATGGGTGGCATTCATGTATCATGGTACAAGGAAACTTGGGAGACACAAGGTAATTTAACAGGGCAAAACGTTTTCCAAGCCAAATATTTTGCTATTGTTGGCATGTTATAAATTATTATTCCAGAGTGTTGAAATTTGTTAAACCAGCAAAATGAATAAAGGTATATATGAATAAATAAACTAGCTATAAAATCTCCCATAGGTGGGATACACAACTACTAAATATTAAAGGTGATTCCTGTCATCATATGACATGTTCTGTTTGATGAGAGCAAATTAACTTTGCTGCAGGAAGATATTTTGGCTGTGTAATTTCAGCAAAATTAATGTAGAAGTGACACAAGGAAGGTTTGATGAGATCTAAGGCATTCCTAGGCTGAGACCTCCTGGAACATTTGTCTTTGCTGCAACATGGGTTCTAATAGTGGACCAGAGAGAGACCAAGGCCCCTCCAGACTGCGTTGATCTTTCCACAGGCCTGTGACCTGGAGTAAGGGCAAGTATATTAACCAGACATCCTACCTCTGTCAGGTGATATACGTGAGGGTGTATATGCATCACATTTTCGCATATGCCTACAGAGTTAACAAATTTACCTTGATGTGACAATTATGTTTTAAAATAATTAAGACAAGCAAAACAGACAAAATACCTTCTTATGTTCCAAGATTATTTTCTAAGATAGACCTTAGAGTCAAATTAGTCTCCAAAATATTTTTTTTTTTCCCCAAATGTGATGTGATTGGGAGTGGTAGAGGAAAAAAAGAAGAGAGATAACATTTTAACATTTATTAGATCTACTATGTGTCAGGTATATAAAATTAGTTCCTGATATAACATATATTAAGTACTTAACACTATATATGCCATTCTATAAAAAATAGGAGAGATTTTTAACCCTTAGTTAAACTTCCATGCTCTAACTACACACAATTCCATTAAGCTTATATATGGTTTTCAAAGCAACAGCATACTAGAAACCCCAAAATAAAGCTGGGAGAAGAGAGGCTGTTGTTGATAGTAACAAAAACAGGGGTTGTCAACGGATAACAAAAACGTGATGAGGGACAGTATGCCAGAACAGAAGAGACAGAAAAGCTAATAAGCAGATATAAAACTTAAAAAGTATAGCAGTGTATAAAAAATTAGTATAGAAACAAATAGTCCAAACTGCATCAATAGGCCGAGGACATCACTCTATTACAAGGTTATTTCGATATTAACTGTAATGATCCCCAAATAAAATATAGATAAAATTACATCATATATATTGTTTAGTAATTTGGGGACCAGAGAAATACATTTCCAAAGAGTTTCAAGTGGTTAAATTAAAGATTTGGTGCTTAAGTGGTACAAATGAACAAAAATTAACATGGTCCGTGGCCAGCTTAAGTAAACTAATTGTATCATATAAATATCAATTTATATGATACAATTAGTTCCAACTAAAATGATACTTAACTCCTTTTCCCTAAAAGCAAAAATACGTAATTGCGTAGTGAGACAAACAATTCCGAATTACTGTCAATAAATTAAAATCAAAATAAACAATTATAAAAGGGTCAAAATACACTTCATCCCTTAACTGCTAAGAGACATTAGTCTTTATATATTTGGCATCGGACAAAGGCGAACCCATTTTAGGCAGGTTTATTTGCAAACCAAGAATGAGGTAATTAGGTTAATACTAAGAGCGGCATCTTCAGTTATCAATTAAAACCATAACTCAGAATTTTGTGAAATGCGTAAAACGCTCTGCGTAAAATGCTCAGCTCTGTAACGGGCCAAATGCAGAATGGCTTGGCGCCTGCACCTTTGGAAGTTGCTGCAGTTTGTGTCTCCCTAACATCTTCACCAGAACTCCCGGCTCACGGAGACTCTTTCTCGCGGTGAGAGCTCACCTCCTGCTCTCGCGCGACCAGCCCCACTGGCACCCCGCCTCCTGCCTTGTGCGGCGGACGCCGGGAAAGGGGCCAGCCCCAACAGCACAGAAGACTGAGGGGGCCTTCTCCCCACATCCGCTCACCTGCTTCCGGGTGTGCGGTGGCCTAAGAGCGGCTCCTGCTCGGCCTGGCACCGCAGGCTCGCCATAGCTAAGAGGCTAACGCTCGCGACAGCTCCTGCTCCCTCACACCCGACTCCGCCCTAGCGGGCAACACGCGACAGCCAGTGCGCGTGCGCGCCCGGCGGCCAGAAGTGGGCGGAGCGCCCGGGCCAGGGGCGGGGCCTTGTGTCCTCGTCCTCCCGCTTCGCTCCTCGGCTCTCCGCCTCCCGGACCCGGTGGACCGGAGCTGAGGAAGGGCCTGGGGCGTGTCTGAACAGCCATCCCGCCCCGGGCTCTCCGGACTCCCGAGGCTTCGCGGTCTGAGGCCACTCGCTAGCTCCTGCGTTCCTGGAAAGACCTCTGTCGCTGCGGCTGGGGCTCGGACGGAAGCCCCGGGAGCCTCCGGAGCTGCAGTACTGGGAGGCTCGGCCAGTTGGACAGCAGGCGCCAGCCGAGCGGCCAGTGAGTAAGTCGCCGGTTCAGGCCGCGCTCCCCGGAGGCGGTCGACCCGTGGCGTACGTGCTAGGAGGCAGGGACTGGGGGCGCAGGGCTTGTCCGGGCCCTGGGGGCCCCG